AATGGTTTTTTCATTGCAAAACCTTTTTTTAAATTGACTACATCTGTAGGAAGAGATGATGGAGAAGCTCAGTATCATCAGCCAAAACAAGAGCAGGGACCAACTGATCTGTTTTTTTTTTTTGCAAATGTCTTTAGTGTAGCTTGAATTTCTTCCTTTGATACCATTGGTTCTTGATCATATCCTACCTCTTGACATGGTTGAACATGGACCATTTATTTTTGTTACAGTGACTGTATATGCCATCTACCTTCTTTTGATGCTTTCTGCGTCATTCAGTATTTTGCCCTTAGGAGTTTTCATTATTTCACACCCAGGTTTGAATTTTTTCTTTAGTGTATTCAGCCTTAGATATGCTGAACATATCTTCTCTTTGTTTTTTGAGCTCCATGTATTTGCACATTTCATTATTGTGCTTGACTTTGCCTTTTTGATTTGCCCTTTGAAATTTTCTGTTCAGCTCTTTTACTCCTTCATTTGTGACATTCACTTTATCTATGTTATACTCAAGAGCAAGTTTCATATCTTTTCTGACATCTATTTTTGTATTTCCTTTCTTTTATGTCTTTTTAATGACCTTTTGCTTTCTTCTTGTTAGATTTTTTTTTTTTTTTTATGTCATCCCACAACTCTTCTGGCATTCTGTCATTAATGTCCAATACATCAAATCTGTACTTGAGATGGTCTCTTAATTCATGTGGGATGTATCCAGGGTCCCATTTTGGCTCTTGTGAACTTATTTTCTTCACCTTCAATCTGAACTTGCCTATGAGCAATTCATGGTCTATTCCACAGTCTGCCCCTGGCCTTGTTTTGGCTCATAATTTTTAGTTTCTCCACCATCTCCTCCCACAGATGTAGTTGACATGATTCCATCTGGTGAGGTCCATGTGTATAGTCACCTTTTATGTTTAAAAAGTAGTGTTTCAATAGGGAATGATTGCTAACAATGAGTGTTGGAAAGGTAAATATAAATGTTTGGTAACAAAGGAAGGAGAGTGGCTGATTTTGCAGTCCAGGAGTGGAGATCCCTGGAACCATCCAAGGGAGAAAAGTGAAGTGCGAGACACTGTGTTGGTAGGTGGCAACACTGGGGACAGAAGGAGTGGCTGGGGACTCTGGACTCAGGGAGGGAAAGGAGCTGTGGGCTGGCGGCCGGGGTGTACCGCTTGGTTGTTTGATAATGCATGTAGGAGATTGTGAGAATTGAAATGAAACAAAATACGATAGGATGAATGTAAAGATAATAGTCACCCATGTAAACTAACACATAATTTACAATAAAAACATATTTAAAAAAAATGCTATTTGCAATGACTAACTCATTCTTCTTGTAAGATTCTATCATGCATTCTCCATCATAATTTCTATCACCAGGGTCATATTTTCCAACTGCTGACCCTTCTGTTTCCCACTTTTGCATTCCAATTACCAGTAATTATTCAGTGCATCTTATTGCATGTTTAATCAATTTCTCACTGAAGAAGTTGGTAGAAATATTCAATTTCATATCACTGGCTTTAGTGATTGATATGTAAATTTGAGTAATAATGGTATTAACCAACCTTCCCTGTTGGCATAAGGATGTTATCCTATAACAGACAGCATTGTACTTTAAGGTATATCTTGAAATGTTATTTTTGACAATGAATATGATACCTTTCCTCTTCATTTTGACATTTCCAACATAGTATTCCATATTATTGCTGAATTCAAAATAGCCAATACCAGTGCATTTCTGCTCACTAATGCCTAGGATAGATTCTGGTGTAGTACTGTTGGGTAAGCACTGAACTTCTAATCACAGGGTTGGTGGGTCAAACCCACAAGCCATTCCTTAGAAATTCTCTACAGGTCATTATGAGTCAGAACTAACCCAACGGAACCTGACAACAACAATGACTAAGGTATCAGTCTTTATGTGTTCCATTTCATAATTGGCAATTTCCAGTTTTCCTATATTTATGCTTTGTATATTCCATGTTCTGATTATTAATGGTTGTCTGCAGCTGTTTCTCCTTATTTTGAGTGATGCCCCATCAGCAAATGAAGGTCCCCAAATCTTTGCTCCATTCACATCATTATGACCAGCTCAGTCAGCTCTTCCCCAGTCATGTTTTGAGTGCCTTCTAATCTGAAGGTCTTATCTTTTGACATTATATCTGACAGTGTACTGCTGCTCTTCTTAAGGTTTACATTAAGTAAAACCACTGTTATCGTAGACATATCAGATGGAGCATAAGATCTGTAAAGAGACCCATTGCTGGATAGTTTGGTTACTTTTTCTTTGTAGTAATTTGCTTTATTTTTGTAATATTTTTGCCACATTTTGCCATATTGTTGAGAATATGCATAGACCAATTCACCAATTTCTATATGTACAGTTCATTGATATTGATTACATGCTTATAAATGTGCAACTATACTCAGTCTCCTTTTCAGAGTTTATGTTCCCTTAACATGAACTCACTTTCACCAAAGTTTCTTATCTAATCTTTTAATTTGTTTGATTCCATTTTGCCCCATATAGAGATATCTTAAAACAATAGTTAAGCTTAACTTTTTTTTATAATGTTTTGTTGTGAATTATATGATAGTTTACATGGGAGAACATTAGTTTTATATTCATTCTATCATATATTGTTTCATTGCCA